TAAATGGAATGCTTGACAACTTCAGTATATCCTCTGTTTATCATGATGCTTCAGTTTTGAGGATTTTTTGGCTTCCGTTGAGGTGTAATCCATACTGAAAGCTGTAGCCTTTGAGCTTCATCTGTAAGCACATCAGTCCCTCTTGGGTTATCTGCATATCGCAGGTTGTTAATGAGTCTTCCTCCAATCCTGATGCTGCTTTCTTCTTCAACTAGTTCAGATTCTTGTAGTTGGTAAGTGCTGCCAAGTTGATTCCAAATCATAGCAACTCTGTACAGGGTTTCCAAGGAGCAGCTGGTGAGTTTGAATCACTGACCTTGAGGTTCAAATCGACCTTGTAGTCCAGAGCATTAATCTGCAGTGCCCCACCAGGTCCAGATTCTTAACACAGAGATTTTTTTGCTCAACATATAGATTAAATAAGTATGGTGAAAGGATACAACCCTGACACATTCCTTCCCTAATTTTAAACCACACAGAATCTCCTTGTTCTGTCTATGTAGAGCTTCCCTGTGACTATTATGAATGCTCCCGGATTTTTATTACTCATATTGGTATCTGTGGTTTGTTATGACCCACATGAATGTTCACATAGTCAATAAAACATAGGTAAACATCTTTCTGATATTCTCTGGTTTTAGTCAAGATCCTTCTGATATCCTTCAGTCCACATCTTCTTCTGAATCCAACCCGAATTTATGGCAGTTCTATATCCATATATATTTTAAAGACCATTTTTTAAAGATTTACAACAAAATTTTACTTACATGTAATATTAATGATATGGTTCAATAATTCCTTCATTCTGTTAAACCACCTTTCTTTGAAATGGGCATACATATAGAACTCTTCCAGTCAGCTGACCAGGTAGCTGTCTTCCACATTTCTCAGCAGAGCTGAGTGAGCATTTTCAGAATTGCATGTATTTGTTGAAACATTTCAGTTGATATTCTGTCAACTTCTGGAGCCTTGTTTCCTACCAATGACTTCAGTTTAGCTTGGACTGCTTCCTTCAATGCAACAGGTTCTTGATCACATGCTGAAATGGCTGAACTTGGACCACTTACTATTTATTTTTGGACCGTGACTCTGTGTCTTCCTTCCATCTTCTTTTGATGCTTCCTGAATTGTTCAATATTTGGTCCATAGAATCCTTCAATATTGCAACTTACGGGAGGGGTCTGCTCTCCCATAAATCTGATCTTGGAGGCCCAGATCCCTCTGCATGATGTAAGGAGAGGTCATGGGGCTCTTAGCTGGCCTCTGACCCTCTCTTCACTGTCATAGTAGGTATCACCCTGGTCTCTGAGAGATTCTTCCTTGTCAGGCAGTGCCATAAGACTCCCCAAACTCAAGGTTCTGAGGAAGTGGTGCTCAAAGGGGAGGGAGGGTGATATTGCCACCTAGGGATTTTAGGGTCCCTATTTTTCATTTTTTACAATGGCTGAGGCATTACTGTGACGACTAAAAACATCCTCCATAAACTCTCCCAAGGCTGCTGGAGTCTCTGGGTGATGTGGATAGTTAAGCATTCCGCTAATAACAGGAAGGTTGGGAGTTTGAATCACAGAGAGGGTCCTCCAATCAAAGGCCTGGTGATTCATTTCCAAGAAAGACCACAACCATTTAAAACCCTGTGAAGTAGTTCTACTCTGAAACACAGGGGGGCGCCAGGAGTCAGAATCGACTCAAGGGTAGGTGGTTAGTTTTGGGTAGGAGGGTACCTGGCAGCAGTGATGCTACACCGTCTAGAACCCTGTGAAATAGTCCCACCTGGTACAGTATTTCTACATTTGGCTCAAGGATTGAATGCCCTGCTAAAATGCAGGCAAACAAAATACACTGATCTGAGCTGAGAACCCCATTTCAGTTGATAAATACTAACCATTTTCATGTGATTTGAATGCTACTTAATTTTCTAGCCACGTAACCATTATAGACTGAATTGTATTTCTCAAACATGTGTGTTGAAATCCTAACCCTGGACACATGGAGGTGATCCTGTTGGGAAGCATTGTTAAATGGCATCATGCTGGTTCCAAGTCATGGCAACTCCACACAGGGTTTCCGAGGAGCAGCTGGTGAGTTTGAACTGCAGGCTTTTTGGTTCAAACTGACCTTTCGGTTCAATGCTTTCCTACAGCGCCACATCAAGACTGCCAGAGTAGGGTGGGCCATAACCCAATCCCTTCTGAGTTATCCGAAAAGAAACAGACACAGGAGGAAGACAGAGGTCAAGGAATGCCAAGGAACTTCGAGACTACTGACAAAGAAGGACCACTCTCTAGAACCGCACTCTGCATTCAGCAATCTAGACTCTTTCACTGTGAGGAAATGCATATAGCCCAGTTCAAGGTTACCTATATGTGGTAACTGTGTTACAGTAAAGCCAAGGCAATAATTATCCTACAAATTGAGGGGTGACTGAACTTGGCTTTTTTTTTTTGCAATTTTTATCAGGAAGTATTCACTATTTTAAAGAGCTCTGATAGAGTAGTGGTTACAAATTGGGCTGCTAACCCCAAGGTCATCAGTTCGAAACTACCAGCGGTTCCGTGGGAGAAAGATAAGGCTTTCTGCTCCCTGAAAGATTTACAGCCTTGGAAACCCCGTGCAGGGTCGCTATGAGTCAGAACTGATTCCATGGTACTTAACAACAATTCATATTTTGGAAAACCAGTCATCCCTGCCGGCATCATTTGTGAGTGCACCATAGGCTTCTAGAAGAAAGAACCAGTCCGTCTGGGAGAAAGCACAGCTATATGCTCCTTACAAGAGAGGATGGTGAGACTCCATCTCACTGACTTCGGACCGGTGATCAGGAGGGACCAGTCCCTGGAGAAGAACTTGGTAAAGTGGAGGGTCAGTGGGAAAGAGGAAGATTTTAAGAAGAGGGGTCGACACAGTGGCTGTAACAATGAGTTCAAACACAATGATTGTGAGAATGGCGCAGAACTGGGCAGTGTTTACTTCTGTTGGACGCAGGGTTGTTGTGAACTGGATTGACTGGACAGTTCTAGTAGCGCTGTGGGATAAAGCACTGAACTGCGAGGTCAGTTTGAACCGCAAGATCCGAGGTTTCAAATTCACCAGCTGCCCCTCAGAAACCCTATACAAAGTCGCTGTGAGTTGGAACAAGGCACTTAACACCACCACCAACAGCAACAATACCAACAAAGGTGCTGGCATGTTTTGAATGCATCAGTCTGCATTCATAACCGTCAGACTTGGTGGTTTCCTGAATGAAGCAATATCAGATTACTTCATCCGAGTCCCAGGGTGGTGTATATGGTTAAGCACTTTGTTGTTGTTGTGTGCTATGGAGTCAATTCTGACTCACAGCCACCCTGCATAGGGTTTCTGAGGCTGTAAATCTCTGTGAGAGCAGAAAGTCTCATCTTTTTCCCACTCTACTACTAACTAAAAGACTGGTGGTTCAAATACACCTTAAGGTGCCTCACAAGAAAGACCTGGCAATCTATTCCGGCAAATTCACAGCCATGAAAACCCTCTGGAGGCAGTTCTACTCAGAAACACATAGGGGTCCCCATAAGTTGCAATCACGTAAAAGACAATTGGTTTGGCTTTTTGTTTACTTTCCAACGTAGTCATGCTGAATGAAGCATTCACATGCCACGAAAAAAGTATTCTTTTTTTAAATGTCTCCTTTATATTCTAGGTAAGGCAGTATGTTGATTTTTAAGGAGTGGTTAAGTACTCAGTTGCTAACCAAAAGTTTGAACCCACTTTAAGCTCAGGGAGAAACAGAGCCAGTTTCTTAACGATTCACAGCCTTAGAAATCCTGTGGGCAGTTCTACGCTGAAAGACAAGGTTGCTATGAGTCAGAATCCACTGGATGCAGTGACTATGTGGATTGTTTGGAAGCTGTGTAGATCTTGATCTTTCAAGCTCATTTCCAGGCGTGTGATAGACAGCCTTTGAGACGCTCCCCCTGAGTGGGGATGTTAATTTTCCTCCCCATGAGTATGGGCTGGGCCTAGAGACTTGCTTCTAACAAATTGTTGTTGTTGTTGTTGTTAAGCGCCGTTAAGTTGGTTCCCACTCATAGCTACCCCGTAAAGGGTTTCTGAGGAGCGTCTGGTGAGTTTGAAGTGCCGACCGTGCAGTTCAAACCGACCTTGCAGTCCAGAGCATTAACTGACATCACCACACCAGGACCCCTAATAAATGGAACCTAGCAAAGTGACTACGGGACAGCACTTCCGAAGTTAGGTGTCACTAGGCTGGCAGCTCCCATCTTGGGCATCTCTCACTCACTCTTTGAGTGTCGTGATCGGTCCTACAGAAAGACCCATGACCCAGAGACCTGCCAATGTCCACACATGTGATCTGGAACCCAGATCCTCCCCCAGGCCAGTTTTGATACAACTATGCCCCGGCCAACACTTCTACTACCATCTCGCAAGACCCTGAGCCAGGGGACTAAGCCACTGCCAGATTCCTGGCCCATGGACAAGGGAGACAAGCTACTGAGCTGTGGAGAAGTTTGTTAGGAAGCAGCAGGTGACTAACACAAAGGATGTAGCTGCTGGAGAAAGCCCACCCAGGTCTGGGAGGGCTGAGAACTGTTGTTTTGGGGTGTGTTCTGGCTTTACCACACTCCCCCAGGATTATGCACATCGCACATCCCCTGGGAGGCACAGCTATGCAGGAGTGTTCGCTCCCACACTAGTGGGCCCCAGGCAGCCCGGCTTCTTGGGCAGCTCTGCCTTTTCTTTCTTGCCCCAGGCCTCCTCCCTCTCCAGTGCCATGAAACCAGATGTTCTGCCTTGACAGCTGGGTCTCGTGGCAGGTGCCATGGTGTATCTCAGGCCTTTTTGCTTCCAGATGGTTCCTGGGACTACTCTGTAACCCAGGTTCCGGAGACAAGATTTGGGGGAAGGGAGACACACTGCAATGCAGTGAGTGTTGGGGTTGCTGCGGGGGTGGGCAAAAGAGGACAGGGTCCCAGCCCCGACAGGAGGGAAGGCTGACTCACCGCAATGAGTACGATGACAGACAGCGTGTAGTACACAGAGTCTCGGCACACAGCCCACCATGTCAGACGTACCACCTGGGGAACACAGGGCTGTCAGCATGCAGGCCAGGTGCCCGGGTGCAGGGAGACACTCATGGAGCACCTCCTAACCAGGCCATCTTGCTGCCCATCACTCGCCAGCTTTTAAGGGATAGCAAAACTGCCCTGAATCCTCCAAGAATGAAAACCACATGTTTCACAGCAGAAGCTGCCTCAGGAGTGGAGGACAGAAGCACTTGTTTGCTGCATCTGACACTGGCACTTCCTGGAGGTGACCTGACCATCCACCTCTCCTTCCCTCCACCAGCCAGGGTCTCCCCAAGAGGTCCAGTCTAATACCCCCTGTGAGTCTGACAACTAGGAAGGTCCAAGTACATGCTTCCTGCTGGGAAGCCAGAGCCAGGTCCTGGATAGTTCCAGAATCTAGTGCAGGACCAGCATTCCGCAGGTTCCTGTGAAGGATTTACTCCTATAACTCTCTCATCCTGGGACTGGTAGAGAGAATGGGTGTTGTTGTTGCCTTAGGACCCACAGAACATGGACACTGGAAGGAAAGTCAGACACAGAAATGGGGGGCTCACTGACTCCCTGACAGCCACAGGAGTGCCCCCACTGCAGTCCAGCCTGCCTGCACAAAAGCATCCAGTCCTGGGACAGAGGGCGTGTGTCACACACTGGAGGAGAGCCACTGACCTGTCCAGCAAACAGGCCACAGACTCCGATTATACACAGGATGTTGAACACAGCAGAGCCCACGATGGTCCCGACCCCAACGTCTCCATGGGTGATGAACACACCTGGAAAGGGACAGACAAGTCTTGGCCATTAGTCTGGTGTTCCCTCTCAGGGCTGAGCCCCTGTACCAGAGGGGGAGAGGGGACGAGGGGCAGGTCTCACGCTATAGAACACCCCGGACGTTGGTGAGAAAGGCAAAACCAGAGAGGCAAAAGTGCCCTTAGGGGACCATCCAGTCCAACTCTCCCATAAACAGCCTGGTGGAAATAGAATTCACATGGCATTATGTCCTCTCACTTAAAGTCTACAACTCAGTGGTTTTCTAGCATATTCATAGGGTGCTGCAGCCTTCAATACAAGCTAACATCAGAACTTCTGTTCACCCTCAAACGAACTCCATCTCTGATAGGAGTCAATCCCCATTCATTCTCACCCCAGTCTCGAGACAACCACTAAGCCACTCTCTCATTTTACAGATGAGAAGACTGAGGTTCAGCGCTGACAAATGTCCCTCCTTGCACTGGGCGCCATACCTGGGCTCTTTTGAGAAATGCTGTGTCTCCGGCTGGAGGGGTTTCTTACCAATGATGGAGGCGAACAGCTCGGGCGTGGAGCTGCCTGCAGCCATGAAGGTGGCACCAGCTACATCTTCACTCAGATGGAGTCTCTGAAACAGAAGTAGCCACTGACTCTCAGGGCAGTGGACATGCTGACTGGACATTCAGTAGCCAAGGCAGGCACAGAGGAGCAGTGTTCTAGGTGGGGGCCCAACTCTTCAGCTGGCAGTAGCCCTCTGGGGCAGCCTGTCCACACCGGGTCCCAAGCATGTGACCTCCAGCCAGTCTGCCAGATGCTCCACTCCCTCCACTCAGACCTGCTCTCCTGCCTCCCCATTAGCTCCTCCCAGTCCTTCATCTAAGAAGGTTCTTCCCTTTTCTCCATTTTTCTATCTTCTGACTAAATACCTTCTTGGTGAGCCCTTTCCTCAGGTGTCCTCCTCAGACACATGTTGTGTCTTATCCACCATCTGTTGGAATGTGAATTACAGGGAGCCGCCTACCCCACTGGATGATGAGCCCCTGAGGGCCTTTCATCTCTGGGACCCCAGTGCTTAGAATCGAGTATGTGTGTGACACACACACACACACAGTAGGTGCTGAACCTCCTGAGGAGAAGCCACGGCAGAGGAAAGGGTTATGCTGGGGTCTAGTATGTGGAGAAAAATAAGAAAAGGAACTGAAAAGCAACCAAGTCAGGAAAGGAAGCACACAGCAACTTGTAAGGGGATGGAGAGGACATCCTGCCAGTGGGAAGAGTCCTCTAGTAAACTTGGACTTGCCACCTACAGCTGCTTCTGGAAACTCTCCAGCCCAGGTGGCATGCTGGGCTCCCAGCCAACCGGGCTTTGGATCCAGAGGTTCTGGGTCTTCATCTCACACTGGGGCATTTTGTGCCAAGCGCTGGGAGGACATGCCACCCACCATATCACCCTGGGGGCTTTAGAGTAGGGTCCTGTGTGGGGCAGAGCCCACTGTCTCAAGAGCTTCCCACGTACCTCGCAGATCTTCTCCAGAGATGGGACAAAGAAGTCATCGCACACGATGGCCAAGGCGTAGAACATGTACAGAGCCTGTGTGAGGACAGACAGAGGGTATATGGTGGGGGCACCATGCCTTAAGGCTCAGAGGAGACCCCCAGCACCCAGAGGTTTACTCCTTCAAGCCCCTTCTAGAGAAATGTGCAAATTGAGTCCCAGCGAGGAGACGTGACTTGTTGGCGGCAGAGAGGGCTACAACTCAGGGCATGTGGCTGGTGCTCCTTTGGTTAACATTCCAGTGTTCTCTTCAAAGGTGAGGGCCAAGGAGGATACATTTCTCACTTCCCTGACACACTCTCAGAACAACTGGAAGGGACCCAAAATGGCACCACATTGGGCCAGGGGCTAATGAAACAAAACGCCCAGTCTTCACTCAGAAGCTTCCTCATGCTGCACATAAAATTGGTCCCAAAGCCAGAGCCTTTTCCGGCTCTAGAGTAGGCGTTGGCAAATGCTTTCTATAAAGGGCTGGAGAGTAACTATTGCAGTCTTTGTGGTCCACATGGTTTTTCTAATGCATAAGTATGAACGCTCTGCTATTGTAGATGGCAATTGTAGGATGGGCATGGCTGTGTTCCAATAAAACTTTATTGACAAAAACAAGTAGAGGGCTGGGTTTGGCCCTCCAATCAAAGTTTGTTGACCTCTTGCAATGCAGTGAATTACTTCATGTCTTTTCTAGCCACAGTCTTTGTAAAGTCCCACCAAACAACTTTTTTGTGCTGGTTCTGGGTAAGAGAAGGTGAGGGGAAACTGCTGATGGATTATCTGATTCAGTGACTGTTAACAAGGCTAATTCTCATTGATCACATTTGTCATCCTGCTGGGAACAAAATGAGCCACTGCAGAAGATGGATTTCACTGCCATCCAGGAAGAAGTGGAGTGGAGCATGTCCTTTGGACCCTGAGATCCCTGTGTTCGGAGTTCCTCGACCCAGGGACAGAAAACGGTGACACTGGAGGGGTGGGCAGGGGAGTGGCAGAGCAGCAGGAGAACCAAGAGCCAGAGGCCTGGACAGAGCGGTAGGTTCCCCAGTCCACACAGCAAGGAAAGCTCAGTGACTGTGAGCAGGAGGCTCACCTGTGGAGTGGGTTACCTCCAGGCACTTAATTGGGGAGCTAGGTTTGCTGACCCCTAGAGCTAGAGCTGAGTGCCTTTGGGTTTCTAGTAGAGTGGAGTGCCCTCTGGACATTTACTGGTGGTGCTTGTAGCTGTGTGCCATGGAGTTGGTTTTGACTCATGGTGACCCTGTATTGGGTTTCTGAGGCTGTAAATACTTATGGGAGTAGAAAACCTCATCTTTCTCCCACACAGTGACTGGTAATTTTGAACTGCCGACCTTGTAGTTATCAACCCAACTCATAACCCACTATGCTACCAGAGCGCCTATGGGCATTGATCTGACAGCCCTAAAACAGCTTTATAACATTGCTGGGACAGGGCAGAGGCCAGGTCAAGAGGCCCGTAGGAACAACAGAGGTGGTCCTGACTGGAAAAACTGGGCCCTGACCCTACATTGTAACTGTGAGTATGGTGTCTGGATTCTGTATGGCTACTGTAAGCAAATTATTGTTGTTGTTGTTAAGCGCCATCTAGTCGGGTTCTACTCATAGCAACCTTGTATAGGGTTTTCAAAGAATGGCTGATGAGTTTGAACCATTGTCTTCACAGTCTAGTGCATTAACCCACAGCGCCACACCAGGACACATGATGGAACTCCCACTAGGTAGAGAGTAGCGTGGGAGGATGGCTTGGAGCTGGTTCGCACACCCCTGTTCTATTAGTGTTACTGCAAAATTCCTAGGGTGGTCTTGGGTTCAGAAAAAATTTTTTTGACTTAGCAATGCAGAAATGAGGCAGGACCACAGAGCCCAAACCACACCCCCTTAGTTAAAGGGGAGAGAATGTATTAGTGAGAGAAAATTAGAAAGATAATAACTCTGTTCTAGAAATAATTTACAAGCCTGTCATTCAAAATTTGCCTACAACCCACATTCCAACTTTTGTTTTCCTTAATGGTTTATACTGTTAATGAAAACCTCACTCATTCATTATTCCCTGGTTGTTACTATGTGGGAAGCTCAGGTTTCACTTTCTTAATGAGCTTTTAAGGAGCTCTGTCTGGTAGCAGAGTGGTTACAGGTAGGGCTGCTAACCTCAAGGTCAGCAGTTTGAAACTACCAGTCAGCCCAAAGGAGAAAGATGAGGCTTTCTGCTCCCATAAAGATTTACAGCCTCAGAAACCCTAGACAGGGTTGCTATGAGTTGGAATTGACTCCATGGCACACTACCACCACCACCACCACCACCACCACCACCACCAGTGATCGATCTCAAAAACTCATACTGGATTGGGTTTAAAGACACAAGCAGAAAGGAGTGAATGGAAGAGGAAGCTCATTGAATGGAAGAGGATGCTGTAATTGATCCAAAAGTAGGTAAGCAAAACTGGACCACCTTCACTTCCTTGTACTACACAACAGAGTGGGCATGCTGTTGTTGTTGTTGTTGGTGGTGATGTGCTGTGGAGTCGGTTCCGACTCCTAGTGACCCTGTTATAGGGTTTCTGAGGCTGCAAAACCTTTACAAGAGCAGAAAACCTCATCTTTCTCCTGCAGAACCTATGGTAGTTTTGAACTGCAGACTGTAAGATTAGCAGCCTGACTCGTAACCACTATGCTACCAGAGCTTCTTAGTTGGCACGATAGATAGCAAATATTTTCAGCTTTGTGGGCAATACAGTTTATGTTGTAACTGCTCAGTTTGGCCACTGATGCACAAAAGCAGCTCTTATGGATTGCATTTGTTGCCCCCAAACATGCTTTGAAGTTCTAACCTACTCCCCTGTACCTATGAATAGGACTAGTCCCGGAAAGTTATGTTTTCTTTTGTTAATGAGGGTGTGCCATAGGTGTAGGGTGGTTCCTACACCTCATCACTCCTGAGTTCTAAAAAGAGCAGCAGAGCCAGCCACACATACAGGGAGGGCAGCCACCAAGAAACACTCAGGATCACCAGCAGACACCAGAAAGTAGGAGAGAGGCTCACAGGATTGACACAACGAAATGATGATTTGGACTTTTAGCCTCCAGAACTATGAGACAATGAAGTTCTGTGTTTTTAAGCTATCTACTAGTGGTCTTCTGTTCCATTAGCCACCCATTGCTACGGTTGGTGTTAGGTAACCCAACTCATAATGCCATAACACTGTTATAGTAGCACTTAGCTAATGAAGGCAATAGCCAGACAGTGCAGAAATGAATGGGTGTGGCTCTGTTCCAATAAAACTTTATTAACCAACAAAAGTGGTGGGCCAAATCTGTCTGTAGGCTGAACTTTGCTGACTTTTATCATGGTGGTGGTGGTGTGTGCCATGGAGTCGGTTCCGACTCACAGCAACCCTGTACAGATAGGTTTCTGAGGTTGTACATCTTTATGGGAGCAGAAAGCCTTATCTTTCTCCTGTAGAACAGCTGGTAGTTTTGAACTGCTGACCTTGAGGAGAGTCAATATGTACCTATACTTTGGGTTTAAATCCATCATTCTTTTTTGAATTGCTACTTGAACTCTGCCAATGGTCATCAAAGGCCATTTAAATTGAGAAATTTTTGTGAAGAAGTTCACCAAAGTTTCAAATAAGCTATAGTTATGTACAGATGGGAAGATTTGGGTTTGGAAGTTCTGGGTGATTTGGGTGGGGGTGTCTGATACACTTTATCCACATTCACTTGTATTTATGTTTATGAGTAGGTGTCATCATCCTCATTTGATCAAGTTACAAAAATTAGATAAAAGAAGACTGGAGTTCTTGTCTTGGTCACTAGCTGGGTGGCACTATGCTAGTCCTGAACAATGCTAAGACTCAGATCCCTTGTGGGGGAGATGGGGCCACTATGTGTCCTCCTCACAGGGCCTAGGATAGTGACACCAAGCACGGAGGGGCTTACCCCGAGGATGTGAAGCAGGACGGCCCCATGCTGTCGATCCTTGTTAGAGAACAGGTCTGTGGGGAACTCGTGAATTGCTGGAAGACAAGAGGAGACGACAGGGCATTAGTTACCTGGGAGACATCCTGGAAGACTCACGTGGCTTCAGACTGCCCAGGGACGCAGCCAGCGACTGTTCCTTAAGCCTGGGGCTGGCCTGTGCGTCTAGGAGAAAGAGGTTGGATACTTGTTTATCCACAAGTGGGGCAGTGGTTAGCATTCAACTGCTAATCACCAGGTTGGTGGTTCAAACCCACCAGATGCTCTGTGGGAGAAAGATGTGACAGTCTGCTTCTGTAAAGATGGACAGCCTTGGAAATACTATGGGGCAGTTCTACTGTGTCCTACAGGGTCACTGTGAGTCAACATCAACTCGAGGGGATAGTTTTATTCGAGTACCTAGAGTCAAATGTATTTTAAATATCTTGTATTAACAATAACAAAGTATGAGACACTTCATACTCATTAAACCAGAAAAATTCACTGCCAAAAATGCTGATTCCAACTCATAACACTCCTGTAAGATGGAGCAGAAGTGTTCCATGGGATCAGTGACTGCAAATCTTTATGGGTGCAGAGAGCCTCATCGTTTCCCCTCACAGCTGCTGGTGGGTTTGAACCACTGACCTTTCAATTAGCAGTCTAATGCTTTACCCACTGCACCATCAGAGTTCCTTCATACCCTCAGTTGTTGTTAAGTGCCATTGAGTCGGTTCAGATTCATAGCAACATTGTATACGGTTTCAGAGGAGCAGCTGGTGGGTTTGAACCGGAGACCTTATGGTTAGTAACCCGGTGTTTATCTTACAGCACCACACCGGGAAGGCTATATCATGAAGACAAATGATAACAGCTGAGGGTGAGGCTGTGGAGAAATTAAAGCTTTCATGCATTGCCAGTAGGAATGTAAAATGGTATACAGCTACTTGGAACAATCTGGTGATTCCTCAAAGGGTTAACTATAGAGTTACCATGTTGCTGCTATTGTGGTTAAGTGCCATTTAGTAGGTTCCGACCCATAGTGACCCTGTATAGGGTTTCTGAGAAGCGGCTGGTGAGCTTGAACCACTGACTGCAGTTCAAACCAACTTTACATTCTCGCGCATTATCCCAGATGGCCACAGCAGTACTATGACCCAACAATTCCACTTGTAGGCATATGTTGTTGTTGTTAAGTGCCGGCGAGTTGGTTCTGACTCACAGTGTATAAAGTTTCCGAGGAGCAGCTGATGGGTTTGAACTGCTGACCTTGAGGTTCACAGTTCAGTAGAGAAATGAAAATGTATCTTCAACAAAAACTTGTATACTCATGTTTACAGCAGCACCATTCACAGTAGTCAAGAGGTAGAGACAACCGAAATGCCCATCAATGGATGAATGGGTAAACAAAATGTGGCATCTGGGCACTGGATTGCTACTTAGACCTAAAAGGGAATGCAGTTAGGACACATGATACGCCACATGTCTGAACCTTGAAAACATACCTCTGAGCACAGGGAGAGACAGTCACATACTGTAGGATTGTATTCATAGGAAATGTCCAGGATCAGTACACCGACAGAGATGGACGTTAGATTAGTGGAGGTGCTGCAGGACACTGTGCTGGACCGTAAAGTCAGTTTGAACCATAAGGTCGGCGGTTCAAACTCACCAGCTACTCCTTGGAAACCCTATACAGGGTCGCTATGGGTCAGAATAGACTTGATGGCACTTAACAATAACATATATATGGAGTCCTGGTGTGGCACTGTAGAATAAGCACTGGACGGCAAGGTCGGTTGAACCACAAGGTC